GTCCTGTGGGGCAAAGGGAGATGACACTATACTGATCTTGCTTATGCTGCCTGTGTAAATAATCAACTATATGCATTGGGGCTCACTGTTTCCTTATTGGATGGATCTATGGAAGTCTGCTGCTGCTTATGGACTACTTGATGTCTTGACAGTAAGCTCGTTAAAAGGAGAAACTTATCTATTTTGTCAACACTATATACTGAGTATCTGGCCTATGGCAAGTGTTCAATAAGTATTTGTTAAATTAAAAAATATAGCGGGGCGCCTGGGTGGCTCAGTTAAGCATCGGACTCTTGATCTCAGCTCAGGTCATGATCTCATGGTTCGTGGGTCCGAGCCCTGCATCAGGCTCTGCAGTGACAGCGCGGAAGCTGCTTGGGATTCTGTCTCCTTCTCTCTCTCTGCCTCCCCCCGGCTCGCTCTCTATCTTTCTCTCAAAACAAGTAAGTAAACATTAAAAAAAAAAAAAACACATAGCAAACAATGGTAAATACGTATTCAAGGATATATATCAAACCCCTGATAGTGGGATGCTTGTGGGAACGGATGGAAAGTATGGAGAACAAAAGAGAAAATTAAAAATAAAAAAGTAAAATAGAACAAGACAGAGGCATTATACTCATGAGGCTTAAAGAAAAACATAGTGTTACCAAGGAGGAAAAAGCCTTCTGGCTCTCTTATTATTCTTCCGTTAATTTATATGAGTATTAGATACCTTGCAAGCTTGACCTTATTTTCTCAACTGTACTACAAGGAGAAAAGCCTAGATAAGCATCTTTTAAACCCTGTTCCAAAGAGGCCCAGTTTTTCTCCTAGGAGCTGTCTCATGGGCGATAGTACCCTTTTAACCAAGGTAGGGGTACTTTTATGTGTTTTATATGTTGGGTTTTCTCATAGAATTTTGTTTGAAGTAAATGGTTGGCAGCTAAAAACAAAAAAAAAACCCTGCAAACCTAGATGTAGCTGTAAAATTAATGTACAGCATGATGACTATAATTACTAATACCGTATTGAATACTGGGTATCTGCTAAGAGAGTAGATTTCAGGTACTCTCAACCACACACACGCACACACACACAAACACACACACATATACACACACATAATGCACACACACACAATGCTAAGTGGGTGAGGACAGGATATGTTAATTAGCTTGACTACAGTAATTTCACTATGTATACGTGTATCATATCATCTTGTTGTACACTTCGCCTTAAATACATACAATTTTTACTTAAAACATTAAATGCCTAAATATAGATTAAGGCAAGGAAGCTTGGTAGCTATGAACTCGGGGAGTGGAGCAGCAGGCATGATTTGGATAATGGAGCTCCTTGGCTTGGGGTTAGAAGGAAAGAATGAAAGGTTTGCTGAAGACATGCATATTCCTAACTGAGAATTTTGTTTAGGACAATTGCTTTAAAACTCATAAATCTTATTTTCTTATTTGGAGGCTGGAGAGGGTAAAGGAAGGGGTGGTCCTCGTGAATTTTTTTTATTAAACTTTATTTTTTATTTTTTAAAATTTACATCCAAATTAGT